GCACCTGGATGGCTCAGTCGTTAGGTGTTTGCCTTTGGCTCAGGTCATGATCCCAGTGTCCTGGGATCAGCCCCTGCATCAGGGTCCCTCTCCCTCTCCCTCTGCCCCTGCTCCTGTGCATTCTCTCTCTTTCATTTTCACCCTCTCTCTCAACTAAATAAATAAAATCTTTTTTTTAAATGTGTATCATATTGATTGATTGAACCACCCTTGGAACCCAAGAATAAGTCCCACTTCACCATGGTGAATGAGTCTTTTAATGTATTATTACTGGGTTCAGTTTGCTAGTATTTTATTGAGAATTTTTGCATCCATGTTCATCAGGGATGCTGGCTTTTAGATCCCTTTTTTAGTGGGTCTCTACCTCATTTGTATCAGGATAATTCTGGCCTCACAGAATGAATTTGGAAGTTTTCCTTGCTTTTCTATTTTTTGGAATAGTTGGGGAAGAATAGATATGAATTCTTCTTTAAATGTTTTGTGGAATTCCCCTGTGAAGCCATCTAGGCCTGGACTTTGGTTTGTTGGGCATTTTTATCCATTTCTTCCATATTGTCCCAATTTGTGGCATTTAATTCTTCTTTCTCTTTTTGGTAAGTCTGGCTAGAGATTTTTAATTTTTATTAATTTTTTCAAAGAAACAGCTCCTACTTTCATTGATCTGTTCTATTGTTTTTTTAGTTTCTCTTTCATTTCTGCTCTGATCTTTATGATTTCCTTCCTTTTGCTGGCTTTAGGTTTTGTCTGCAGCTCTTTTTCTTGCTCCTTTCCATGTAAGGTTGTTAGATTGTTTATTTGAGAATTTTCTTGGTTCTTGAGGCAGACCTTTATTTCTAAACAATCTTCTGTTGGTTCTCAATGAACTTAATTTGTATACAGACCATTGTGAACAAACACACTGTACAACTTAAAAATACATAAACTCAATTTCACAATACTAAAAATTAGTTGGGTAGAATTACCACTGGATTACCAGGTTAATTTTCTCTCTCATGGAATCACGTTACAGAAGGATGGATTTGTACTTAATAAGAAAAGCATCTTTCTGTGTTGCAAAAATGAATGTAGAAAGTTTTTGAAACCATTTTGGTAGTGTGAGATAGTAGTGGATAAAGAATGTGAATTTGCCTTTTAAGAGTGATAATGACTTTTAATTTAATTTTGCCTCAGGGCTTGGTCCTATGAATATTGGATTTCTCCTTAGAGTAGATTTAGTGAAGCAGCACAGTACTTATTCTATCCTGATGGTTTCTTTATCCTCAGGAAAGTCTCCTCCTATGGACCATGGTTTCCTCAAATATAAAGTGAAAAAATTTGATTGTGAGGTTCTTTCTAAATCTAAAACTATATGAAATATCTGCAGATTTTATGGTCAAATATCTCTTGAGAGGAAGGGGATACTTCATAGTAAGAATATGTACATAAAATCAACCTATAATTTGCTACTATACGATACTGACCACACCCATGTATTCTGAAGAAATATACTAAAGGAAATAACCTTTCATCCAATGGAGAAAAATTGTGGTTTTAGATTTTCTGCCTCAGGAGTGACAGATTCAGAAAAGCCAAAAGCTGTATAGCTCTGTTTTTTCCCAGGCCAGGCCTGGTACACACCAGCAGGCGGTAGTTACAAGCACTGCTGCATGCTGGGAAGGTAACCTCCCCTGCCCTTCACAGACCACCCACCACAGAATGGAATGTGTTCCAGACTCAGGTAAGCCAGGTGTGCAGTAGATGAGGGCAGTGAGCAGGGGGAGGGGAAGATGTTGCTAGCACACCTTTCCTAAAGGGCAGGTCCCTCAACTTCCAATGTGCCCTTGGCCAAGCGATGGGGCTAGAAGGAAGTTCAAACTCCAGTGTTGGTCTATAAACATGTTTCAGAACTCTAGATGTGCCTTTCATCTCCTAAGTGTCCCAAAACAGCAGGCTGCTAATGAGTTATCTTACCTCTGGCAAGTAAGAGTGATATACAAATAGACAAAAGACAATAGCATAGAGTATTCCGCTGAATACATTATCCTTTACAGTGTAGATACCTTCTGCAAGTTTCTTTTTATCAAATCTCATTTTTAAAGACTAGAAAGAGCTTTATTGTCTCACTGAAGATAAGCCCCTCCTTATCATAATTTAGGCAATTTTGAAATTCTTCCCTAGATGAAACATTGGTTTCCTATTAAGTATTGCTGTTAAATGATTTAAAATCCAGCAAAAGAAAAATCTATATAGAAGGAATGAGGAGAATTTCTGTACTATTTGAATGAGACACAAAAAAGACTTCACCAAAGATTACAAGCAAAAGAAAACTCTGTTCTGAGCAGTGAAAGGACAATACTGAATGAGAAAATGCACATATACATGCACAAAATTCTATGGAAAAATATGATGAGGGACTGAACTGAATGTCGGGCTAACTTAGACTCTTGGAAACTAGAAAATTATGGGGAGAAAAAAAAAGACTATTTAGCACAGTGACAGCCTTCAGACCTAGGTCTGAAGTCCCAGGATTCAGGGCAGCAGGCCTAACAAGGGAAGCTTGGCCCCTGTAGGCCACGAAGTTCTTCATATGACTGCAAGATTGTTAGAGAAGCTTTTCAGTTTGTGTTTACTTTATGAGAAACTACCAAATGGTGTTTCTAAAATTAAGTAGAAATCCCCAAAGAAATAGAAAGTCAAAAGTTGTCAGCTGTAGACAGAGAATATAAAAATATTGTAAAAATACATCTGATTTACTTTACATAAGCTTATTTTCTTGAGGCTGATGAAGAAGTGACATTTGATGCTCAAACCTCACTGACAGTTTCTGAATAATGAGATTAGTACATTTAACCCAGAATTGTCGCAGCAATCCTTAAATATAATATTTTCTTGCCTTTTGGCCAATAAAAAACTCTGATGGAATTCTTTTTTTATTTAATGGAAGAGATACCAGAAAAGCATTGTGGGTTTTTTTTTTCATTTGTTTGTATTGAAGTTTGATTTGCCAACATATAGTATAACACCCAGTGCTCATCCCATCAAGTGCTCCCCTCAGTGCCCGGCACCCTGTTACCCCATCCCCCCGCCCACCTCCACTTCCGCAACCCTTTGTTTGTGTCCCAGAGTCAGGAGTCTCTCATGATTTGTCTCCCTCTCTAACATTTCCCACTCATTTTCTCTCCTTTCCCCTATAATCCCTTTCACTATTATATTCCCCATATGAGTGACACCGTATGATGTTTGTCCTTCTCTTATTGACTTACTTCACTCAGCATAATACCCTCCAGGTCTATCCACATTGAAGCAAATGGCAGGTAATCGTCCTTTCTGATGGCTGAGGAATATTCCACTGTATCCATGGACCACATCTTCTCTATCCATCATCTTTCGATGGACACCGAGGCTCCTTCCACAGTGTGGCTATTGTAGACGTTGCTGCTATAAACATTGGGTGCTGGTGTCCTGCCATTTCACTGCATCTGTATCTTTGGGGTAAATCCCCAGCAGTGCCATTGCTGGGTCGTAGGGCAGGTCTATTTTGAACTCTGAGGAACCTCCACACAGTTTCCCAGAGTGGCTGCACCAGTTCACATTCCCATCAACAGTGCAGAGGCTTCCCCTTTCTCCACATCCTCTCCAACATTTGTTATTTCTTGTCTTGTTAATTTTCCCCATTCTCACTGGTGTGAGGTGGGATCTCATTGTGGTCTTGATTTATAGTTCCCTATGGCAAGGGATGCAGAGCATTTTCTCATGTGCATGTTGGCCATGTCTCTGTCTTCTTCTGCGAGATTTCTGTTCATGTCTTTTGCCCATTTCATGATTGGATTGTTTGTTTCTTTGCTGTTGAGTTTAATAAGTTCTTTAAGATCTTGGAAACTAGCCCTTTATCTGATACGTCATTTGCAAATATCTCCTCCCATTCTGTAGGTTGACGTTTAGTTTTGTTGACTGTTTCCTTTGCTGTGCAGAAGCTTTTTATCTTGATTAAGTCCCAGTAGTTCATTTTGGTTTTGCTTCCTTTGCCTTCATAGATGTATCCTGCAAGAAGTTGCTGTGGCCAAGTTCAAAAAGGGTGTTGCCTGTGTTCTCCTCTAGGATTTTGATGGATTCTTGTCTCACGTTGAGATCTTTCATCCATTTTGAGTTTATCTCTGTGTCTGGTGTAAGAGAATGGTCCAGTTTCATTCTTCTGCACGTGGCTGTCCAATTTTCCCAGCACCATTTTTTGAAGAGACTGTCCTTTTTTCCAGTGGATAGTCTTTCCTGCTTTGTCGAATATTAGTTGACCATAGAGTTGAGGGTCCAATTCTGGATTCTCTATTCTGTTCCATTGATCTATGTGTCTGTTTTTGTACCAGGATCATACTGTCTTGATGACCACAGCTTTGTAGTACAACCTGAAATCCAGCATTGTGATGCCCCCAGCTCTGGTTTTTCTTTTTTAATACTCCCCTGGCTATTCGGTGTCTTTTCTGATTCCACACAAATCTTAAGATGATTTGTTCCAACTCTCTGAAGAAAGTCCACGGTATTTTAATAGGGATTGCACTGAATGTGTACATTGCCCTGGGTAACATTGACATTGTCACAATATTAATTCTTCCAATCCATGAGCACGGAGTGTTTTTTCATCTCTTTGTGTCTTCCTCAATTTCCTTTAGAAGTGTTCTGTAGTTTTTAGGGTACAGATCCTTTACCTGTTTGGTTAAGTTTATTCCTAGGTATCTTATGCTTTTGGGTGCAATTGTAAATGGGATTGACTCCTTAATCTCTCTTTCTTCAGTCTCATTGTTAGTGTATAGAAATGCCACTGATTTCTGGGCTTTGATTTTGTATCCTGCCACACTGCCGAATTGCTGTATGAGTTCTAGCAATCTTGGGGTGGAGGCATTTGGGTTTTCTATGTTCAGTATCATGTCATCTGCAAAGAGGGAGAGTTTGACTTCTTTCCCACATTATCTCTGTCCATTTCTGGTGGTTTTCTGAAATACAATTACTCTATTTTTTTTTCCACCTAGGTTTATGTTCCAGATGAAAATAATGCTATTTTGGGAAGAAATACAAATAAGCAAGTTTTTGAAGGTTTGACAACTGGACTTCTCAAAGTCAGTGCTGTGGTTTTTAGCTGTCTGATTGCCAATCGACCAGATGGAAGCAGCCGGCCAGCTACACCAAAAATATCGACACAGGAAATGAAAAACAAACCTTCACAAGGTGATGCATTTAACAGTCAAGTTCAGGACCTCATCAGGTAAAATTACTAGATTTCTTCAAACTTTCTTCTTTAAAAAAATGTTATATTAAAATAATTTAAATATCAGGGTGTTTGTGACGGCAGTGTTTCTCACAACAAAATCCATAAATTCCTGGTGGAAAATACACTACGTTTGGTACCCCAGAGAAGAAAGGTCCCATTAATGAAAAGCAATACAGTTAGGGTTCATCTTTCATTCTTGATATTTAGATATTTGATGTTAGAAGATATAATGTTCAAGCTTTTATAACTTTCTGTCAACTATTTCCAACTCAAGAATTTCTGAGAATTCCCCTATTTCAGGTCGTCTCTGATTTTAAATTTGGTTCAAACTTAATAATAGCTACCATTTATGGAGCACTCATTATGTGTAAGGTATTGTAATAGAGGCTTTGCATCCCTGTTGGTGTAGGATTTCTAATTCAGACTTCGTAGGTGGGAAAATTACTCAGAAAGATTAAATGCATGCCTAAGTTTATGTAATAAATTCAAAAGTAGGTAGGAGATTTGGAATTGGAACTCAGGTCTAGCTGGACTCCCAAAACCTGCGTGCTTTCCCATTACGCAGATAGTAGCGATTTCTGACACCTGTTCAAGGTCACTTCTGAAGTCACCTTCTCTCCAGGGACATTTACTCCTATTCAGACATCTGAATCCTTTTTTTCCCGTCATGAATCTTGAATCAGGTAGGACATTTGATTTCCCAAAAGAGTTCCATTTGGTGTTCATCAGTTACCTGCCCCACCTATCAGCAGCTTTTCTGTGATCAGCACTGATCTCTGGTTTCCAAAATCCATGCAGTTTGTTGCTCTGAAGCTCATGGCAGGTTAATAGGAGAAAAAGAGAATGCCCTCTTCTGCATTTGCCTCAAAACAGTTCATAAATCTCCTCTGGTTTCTTATAGTGCTCTCTTGAGAACAGTTGTTTCATTCAGTATCTTCTTGCTCTTGATTATTTTGTTCATTTCTCCCTTCCCTCTGCCTGCCCTCTTTCCCCAAGCATATTTATTGCTAGAGAGTACCAAGCCCTTTAGGTTCACAGCCATTTATCTTACAGCACTTGACTCTTGCCCTCCCTGGCCTTTCTCTCGGTTGCTTGATCCCATTCAATTTCCCCCTCACCGTAGGTCACTGTAGAACCTAGCCCTCTCTGCTGACACATGCCATTCTGTTCCACCCTTCTCCCTTGGGCTGCCCCGTGATGCAACAGCCCTGGATTCCCACCAGACAGCACAGCTATATGCCGTTGTGGACCAGCCAAATGCTTCAGTGTAATTCTAATGGGCTTTCCACTAGAAAGTGCATGCATTTTCACATATGTTATTATATGTGTATTACAATATATTATAATATATTATTATAGTTACCAGATCCTTAAGAAAGGAAAAAAATAACAGTTTATGTAATTTGCCAAACCGAATCTCCCGTAACTTAAAAAGGATGATTGACAATCAAAGTCCTTTAGAAAAAAACTCTGCCCCTCTCTCAGATTTGAGCCACTGTTGGTAAAGGTTGTTTTCTTATATGTGATGCATTGTTAGTTGGCTTCGTGATGCCTATGGTAGAACCACAAGCTGTATTCTACATCTGCCCAATAAGGCAAATGGAACACGTCTGATTATTTCCTGCTTTCTCACCTTCTCAGATATTAGCTGACAAGAAATCTCACTCTGCTTCCTGCCATAACCTGGGAATTTTTTGTCAGTCTATATCTGTAGAGTCCCCACTGGCCAGAGAGAGTTCCAGCACAGCCTTTGGTGCCGTTCTGTGCCCTGTGTTCCAGAAGTAGAGCTGGAGCAGTAAATACCGCCTTGACATATGTCCCTTCCTTCTCCTCATCTGACATAAAAGAGGCAAGGGGATTTCTAACAAAGATGGTAATACCAGCACTTATTCTCATTATTTTACATGGTTTGCCCAGTGTCTAGATCTAAGGGATTCACAGTGATATTTATCAGTTCGTACTATGGTCGGTCACCTGTAGCACTTTGTGCCAGATACCATACAAGGTCCTGGGGTACAAAAATGAAGAGATCTTTAACAGAATAGCCAAATATTGTTTGGCTGTCAAACACCAGAACATTTTTCTATAAAATGAAAATATTGGCAGTTCCAGTGTTTAGCACAGTTCTCTGAAAGCAATATTGTTTGTAGGATGGAAGCAGATTGCAATTCTATTTTTTCCAGCTTTCTTGAGATATTGTTGACATATAACATTGTAGAAGTTTAAGGTGTAGTGATGTGACGCCTATATATACTGCAAAATAATTACTACAATTAGTTAACTCTTCCATCACCTCACATCATTACCTTTTGCGCATGTGTGGTGAAACATTTGAAAGCTACTCTCAAGGGGCGCCTGGGTGGCTCAGTCAGTTTAGCATCTGCCTTTGGCTCAGATCATGATCCCAGGGTCCTGGAATTGAGCCTGAGTCGGGCTCCCACCCTGCAGGAAACTTCCTCCCTCTCCCTGCTGCTCCCCCTTGTGTTCTTGTGTTCGTTCTCTCTCTCTCTCTCTCTCTCTCTCTCTCTCTCTCTCTCTACTACTTTCTTAACAACTTTCAAGTAAATGATATATTATTGTTTGTTAACTATAGTCACAATGCTGTACGTTGCATCCCCAGGACTTATTCATCTTACAAATGGAAGTTTCTACCCTTATACCCTTTAACCAACATCTCATTTCCTCTAGCCCCCAGGTCTTAGTAACCACCATTCTATTCTTTATTTCTAGAAGTTCAACTTTTTTAGATTCTACATGTAAGAGACCTCATACGGTATATGTCTTTACCATCTGACTTATTTTATTTAACTCGTCTTCAAGATCCATCAGGGTTGTTGCAAATGGCAGGATTTCCTTCTTTTTTGGATTATATTCCATTACACACACACACACACACACACACACACAACACATTTTCTTTATCCATTCATCTTACGTGTCTTAAGTGATAGACACTTAAGAGTTGTGTCCATGTGTTGGCTGTTCTCAATAATGCTGCAGTGGACATGAGAGTGCAGATATCTCTTTGAAATGGTGATTCATTTCCCTCAGATATATATATAGAAGTGGAATGGATGGATCATGTAGTAGTTCTAGTCTCAGTTTTTTGAGGAACCTCCATACTGTTTTCCACAGTGGCCATGTAAGTGTACATTCCCACCAAAAGTGTACAAGGATTCACTTTTCTTGATATCCTTGCCAAAATTATCTCATATTTTTGATAATAGCCATTTCTAGAAGGACAACATGGTATTTTATTGTGGCTTTGATTTGCATTTCCCTGATGATCAGTGATGTTTAGCATCTTTTCCTATACCTGTTGGCCATATGTATGTTCTTCTTCTCCACACAAATGATTTGTGTTTTTACTATTGAGTTGTAGGAGTTCCTTATGTATTTTGGATATTAAACCCCGTATCTGACATATATTTTGCAAATATTTTCTCCCATTCAATAGGTTGCCTTTTCATTTTGATTGTTTCTTTTGCTGTGCAGAAGCTTTTAAGTGATGTAGTCCTGCTTGTTTATTTTTGCTTGTCTTGCTTATGCTCTTAGTATAATATGCAAAAAAAATTTTCCAAGCCCACTGTTAAGGAGTTTGTTCCCTGTGTTTCCTTCTAGGAGTTTAATGGTTTCAGGTCTTACATTTAGGTCTTTAATCCATGTCAAGTTCATTTTTATGAGTGGTATAAGAGGGATCCAATTTCATTCTTCTGCAGGTACTTTTCCAGTTTTCCCAGCACCATGTATTGAAGAGATTATCCTTTCCCTATTGAGTATTCTTAGCTCTCCTGTCAAATATTTGTGGACTATAGACCCATGGGTTTATTTCTTGGTTCTCAATTCTGTTCCATTGGTCTGTGTGTCTGTCTTTATGCTGGTACCATACTGTTTTGGTTACTGTAGCTTTGTCTTATAGTTTGAAATCGGGAGGTGATGCCTCCGTCTTTGTTCTTCTTTTACACAGTTGCTTTGGCTCTTTGGAGTCTTTTGCTGAAGCACAATTCTTTTCATCATATCCAATTAGAAATGTATATGTCTCTCATAAAACAGGAGAAACAAACTGTACATACAAAAGGCAAATAGATGAGTCCAAGTCACTGATACCAGTCTTCTGGAATCGAAAGTTATCAAAAGTAAGGCATCTATTCAAGAAGTTACAGAACTGTACTTTAGCACTTTGCTGGCCAACAAAGCCACATGCCAGGGGAGAGCTTAGGCACAGCAGGTGTCGCAAGTTCACAACTGAGCACATAATCTTTCCACCCAGAGGAGCTCCTTTGCCTGTGTCCTCCATTCCTTCTCAGTGACGCTCATGTCCCATTCAGTTACTCAAGCCAGCCGACTGAACATCGTCAGACTCCTCACGGAGACACCCTTTCCAAACCAGTATTCAGGTCACTCTTTACTACGTATTGATTCTGCCCGCCCTCTGCATCTCAGGTTTATCACCTTTACTCTACTGCTGTGTTTCTATTAGCAATAATCGCACCTCAGATAAACCTCATTGGCTTCGATACTGCCAGTGCGCACAGCTTACTGCTGTGTTTCTAAGTGTTAAGGCTCTCTTGCAGTAGCAGGTGGCTTGGCTGTTTCTCTCTCATTTCTCCTTTTCAATTAACTTCTCTTTCTTAATTAGAAAGTTTCTCTCAATGAGAAAAAGAATTTGGAAAACACAGAACAATGGATATTTTTGTAAACACACACAAATTACCTTGAATCCTGCCACCCAAAATATAATCACTGGGTTGGTTTTGGTGCATATACATTCAGTTTTTTTATAAAAAAATACTGTAATACTTGTACATATTATTTTATCATGTTTTTATTTATTTTTCTAAATCACCAGAAATTTGCAAATTACTTTTTGCTGGCTTTCCAAGTATTTCATTATGTAGCAATGATTTGCTCCACATGACCTTTTATTACTCATGTAAATTTATCCTAGTTTTTTACTATAGATAGTACTGGGAAGAACATCTTTGTACACTCAA